AAAATTAATTTTAGCAATATTCTGAACGCATTGTTGACGCACTGTCTTTTGAATTACTTATGCTTGTAAATTACACAATTTAATGTTTGACAAAAAGGAAAATTTAGTATATATTTTATGCAGTTATAAAATTTCGTGTAAATTACCAAATATGTATCTGCATGGAAACGTGCTGGAGTAATACATATGGATAAAAACCAGTCTTAAAAACAACCAGTTTTACTTCGAAGTTCGTCGTCGATTTTCGATTGAAAATGTTCAGTATATTAATAGGTAATAATATTATTTTAAGTTGTATACCTACCTTATTTTCGACTCATATTATCTTCTTTTTGCAGTTTATCATCGTCGTCGTATAGTGTTGAAAATAATTGTTTCCGCCAAAGATTGAGTGYAATAAATTAAATTAATGTTTAAGTAAAGTAACGTAAATACATATAATATACATAGAAGATGCGTATTACTATTTATTTAAGCGCGTCGTTGTTAACTTATATAGGCGTTCAAGCGTAACATGATAATAATAATATATAACAAAATTATTGTTGATACGGTTGATTAGATACAGCGCAAATATTTTACTCCTGCAAAAGATTTTACAAATCTAACCACAAAATCATTCAAATGGTTATGGTTATAAAATTATGGCTCGTACGGTTGGTCGTATATAGATATTGACCACGGCGGTGAATCGTTTCAAACGTTTTTATTTTGGAGACCAAAAATTAATTGCGTTTTTCAATTCCTCGAAGCTTTCAACTTTAAAATATAGGTCACTGCAGTTATAAAATTGATTAAATCACCKCAGTGGTTTTCTACGTTTTTTTTTCTTAATTTGTGTCACCTTATTCACCGTGAGTATCCGATTACTGTGCTCATATTGCCATCAAAATGGTAAACGGTCACTTTGAACGACAAATATTGTGGAACGCTAATAYATTGTACTATTATATACATGAATTATTCTTTCAAATATAAGTATTGAAGTATATAACACAATGTTATAAATTTTGACGGGATTTAAACATTATTTTTAAAATTCTAATATAACATTATGAAATTCCAATTTAAAATKCATTTCAACGATAGACGCAAAACATAATTTGATTGATTTTGATATGATGGTTGGTAAATATATTTATCTTTATAAATTTATAATATATTATCAAACGTATCCTGAGCTGACTGATCAATGTAGAATCTAAACTATGATACATAAAGACTTGACATTTTCGTGGAACTTTTGTACCATCACTACCAGGCTGTAAACAGTTTAAAACATCAAACTATGGAAGGATTTTCCAAAGTTTAGATTTTAAAGAGGTGCTCACAACAAGTACTTTGAGATTCACAATGGATATCGAAAAATGATGTTTTATACATAAATGGTTGTCATTGGTTAGTCGGGCAGATGGGATAAGAGTATGCATAAAATAATTGCCTTTATGGTCTATGAGCCTTCCTTCGCTATAATTAGTGTTATTTTATGTCAACACTCTTACTCAAAATACCATGTTTTTATAGATAGTAAATAATTATTTAAAATTAATGTTTTTTTATTTAATGGTCTCGAATAATGAAATTAAAAAAAAATCTGAAGTTGTATTTATAAAATGATCCTTCTATATAATATTTGTTGCCTATAGACTCAAAAACTACTTAACTGATTTTAACGAAAATGTCTAGGATTATTTTTAGAAATATCAAATAAATTTAGAGAGTTATTTTAACAACGTTCAAAAATATACCAAGAGCTGTCTAAACTGAGGAAAACTATTACTGAGGTATAAAACTGATATTACATTTTTTCTGTCAAAATCAGGTTAAGCAGTTAGTTTTATTGAACCGATAAATATGATTGTTAATTGTTTATTTTTGAAGGTTTTTAGTAGGTATGTTACTATGGGTAGGGCACTGTTGTTTTTATACACGTGTGTGTATATGTGTGACAAAGATTTGTCACTGAAAACCCTGGTGGTCACCCATCGGGGAACTAGTTKCATCGACCGGTGCTTGTACAAATATCGTCGCGTTTTACGGCTTATTGAAATACTGCACCACGCTAAGTCACTGTAAGATTGTGTTAATTTGTTTATTTGTGTACCATTTATCAGAACTTGCTATCCGAYAATTTGCTCATAATAKAGCCGATTTACTTAAATGGTTAAATCGTATTCGAATTTTTCTTTGCTTCAGTCGTTCGTGGTTACTTGGCAAAATGTGCGGTGGACGTATCGTTATTGCCGAATCATAATATCGATAATATAATATTACATATTATTTATTAATAATAATAATAAATTCATAGCCGCGCGACCCGGATACCGGTCAGCCCGGCCCGTCGAAGAAAGTCCGGTGCGTCACCGCCAGAGCATAATGTGTGCATATGGTAATAATAAACTATGTTTGTTCGGATTATGAAATAGGTTTTTTTCTTCTTATTATTATTATTATTCCTTTCCAGAAGCGTGTACGACCCCGCGAGGTCGTGAGCGACGCGGTCGGACAACGATTGTAAAACATTACAATATATTATTATTATTAATATATCTTGCAGTAATCGGGCGCGCATGCAGCCGCACCGGAATATCCGAAAAAACAACAGTGACTCAGCGAGTWCAACGTGCCGTATATGTTATGTATGGTAGGCGTCATAATAATATTATGCAACATCACAACGCTCGTGTTATGTAATCCAAGGAAGACTAGATAGCTCTGCGGCAGTTCCCGGTATCCCGGACCGCGGGTTTAWAAATTATAATATTATCAAAAAGATAATAATAATATTGTTTATTACAGACTTTCACGGCGGCGTGGGCGACTTATCGGGGCTATTACGATGGCGCCGATGGTGGTAATAATAAAACGAGTCGTCTCATCCCGGCACGACCGATCTGGTTACGAGGTTAAACGAAGACGGCGCGTGGTTGCCTATTATATAGTTTGATGACTGCACGTGCACAGTGTACCTAGTTACTACCACGGCCGAGAGACGATTTTCTCTTAGGTTTTCACGTACCTACCTAATAATATTCGATTGACTTGAAATATGTGGCGAAGCTTGATGAAAAAAAAAAAAGTGGACGATCAAAGAATATTCTTAGTAAACTATTCAGTATTCATAGAACATGCGATATTGTAACTAATATGATATACAAATTGATTTACCAATCATGATCATCCCCCTACCCCACCAATTTTTCTTTAATGATAAATAAAATTAAAATTCCGATTTTTGGCATTTTTAAATATTCCAAAAGACCAATACTTTCAAATTCGTGAGATTTTCTGTACATTTGTACAAATGTACAAATGTTTTTCAAACGATAATCCTCAGTTTTTTAAACAATTCTTCATATCTAGCTCAAAATTCGAATGAGTAGTTTCTGAGTTAWTTAAATGTTTATACTAAGGATAATAGTCCTTAAAGATGGTTTTACAAAAATAAATATTTCAAATTACAATATTTTACGGTAAAAATAGGGGTTAGGGGTTATCATTATGAAAAGTAGAAGTTTGTATCACCATAAGACACTTCTTAAGTAGCACAAAACATCTGAATAAATTATTTACTACAGCAAAAAAAATATGGTGATAATGCTTGGCAAATCGTCTTGTGTATCATTTGTTTCAAAATAAGTGATACATTGTCACTAATATAACATTATACCTAACATGTGAAGTAAGTAATATTGTTTTAAAAATCAAAATATTAATATTGAGCCAACATCAAAGTTTTATAATTTTCACAATAGAAATAGTGTAAGTACGCTATAAAAGGTGCATGAATAAAAAACTCATAATATTCTAATGAGCCAATAAGYTGACACTKTTTTACAAATTATTTCCAAYTATACTAGAAAAATAGTCAATAAGCAATTTAAAGAAAGATTRAAATATAATGTTATATTTAAAACTTTACATRTATAATATATTTGTGTAGGCACATTGAAACGATACAGTTCTAAATCGAATCACTGAAATAAAGCGCCAATTAAATATCTGTGATYTTGACCCTTTTATACGAACCTAACCKATTTATTTCCTTATAATCTCGTTTTGAACCTTTTCCAACCAATTTCGACTGTTTTGGGGGGATGAGAGAATAATATTACAGTAATTTTTTAATTAATTATTTCTTCGGTTTGGATTTTTTGCACTATAGGAATACGTATATGTATTGCGTGATAAATATTTTGAAAAAAATGCTGTTACTTGTTAATCATTTGTTTACGCCTAACTTACTATGAATGCATTTCATCCACAATTCCAATAACAACTTTTATAATAATCTTGTATTTTGCACTACTAAATTTGTTGCAGTAATCTGAACTGATGTTAGCATAACATTACAATAATTTTGGTTTATATTGTACGGTATCGTTTTTGAAATACAATAAATACATTATTAAACAATTTCATTAGTATATTATATTACATGCGGAATGCATTGTTTACCCGATTTTTAAGTATAAAATATTGAGATAAATAAGATATAATGTTGTTATGTGCTCATAATTTTTTGAATTTATTAAAAATAGTCAAAATATCTACTATATCTGATAAGCTTCTCATAACTATATTAGCATTATAATTATCCTCGTTCGTCTATTATTTACGTAATATATATTTATTAAAATATTAGTGACATTGGTAAATACCCAATTACGGAATGAAATAGCAGTGAATACGCAAAATAAAACAAAATAAATATAATAAGCATATAGTGCTATAAATYAAAATAACAATAACAATAAATCCATCAAGAACAGAATATAATATAATATTATATTATAGGTACTTTTCAGCGGTGGCTTTGTACAGTAATTGTATAACAATTATAACAATAATAACGCAGTTGTGTTTTTGTTCGTATATGATTTTGAGATTTGAGTGCGATTACCTAATACGATTTTATATGACACACTCACATATTATTATTATACATAGTCGTGGTGGAGGAGGATCCGGTGTGGTGTTACGTGCGCGCTCTGTATATATATCACAGGCGGCGGACTACCGACCGGCAGACGGTTAGTGACATCCGAACGGTCAACGGACTAGGTTCAACTCTGACAAGCGTGTTCGATGTGTTTGCGTTCCTAAATAATAATAATAATTCGTCCACAGCGYGGAATAACAGTACCGCATATAGGTACCTACACACATCGCGACCGGCTGAGCATTCTGCGCAAACCTCAACAGACACGTCGTCACTAACAGGTATGCGAGTCTGAACTCGGTATAATACGATATTTGCATATTTACTACATATAGGTACCAGCCTAATAGTTTACCGTAACGTACACAGTCAGTTGACGAACCGATTTTCACACGTTTGTATTGTTTCACGTCGATACTYAATCGACAGATAATGACATTACACATTACAGACGAAAAACATGTATGAACCTACTGATCAAACAAACGAGATTCATGACCTGCAACGACCRCCGCAAGACAAATTTTAASGCTGGTTTAGTTTGATATTATATTTCTGTTAAACTGTATACTTGCATTGTTTTCGAAACTATAGAACACTGTTAAAGGTATGTCGAGCTTTTTTTATAAGCATAATACTATATTATCAGAGAGATTTTTTTTATCGTCGTAACTTCAATATTATTTCGGTTTTATTTGTAATACTTAACTTTACCTCAACATAACATGGCCTAACCTAACATAACATAACATAATCTTATAACGTCACAAGTGGGACAATCGTCGTTTATTAATTTATTACTCACAGCGCTGTACTTTATAATATGATTATGATTGAACTCTGCAGAATCTCATACCATRCTGAACACCGTGCGTTCAAATCTCCCGAAGATGAATTCGACAACTGCAATTTTGCAATATTCTTATTATAGCCCCCCATTGCACTGTAGACAAATGACAACAGCTTAAAAGATCGAATCTATACTATATCATAGTATAATAATATTTTTATGTCATACGAAAACACGATTTCGATCAACCATTAACCATTTTACTATTTATTAGATAAGTACCTAACATAATTTGTTGTAACAGAAGTTTATGACTAAGTATTAGGTATATAAAGAAAAGGCTATTGATTTATTGATTTCTATGACAATGAATGTCGTTTTGAATCTAAAATAAGTGAGATACAAATCTGATTCAATGCATTATAATTACAAACACTAAATTTTACTTTGAAAATAACGATTTTTTTTCTCGTATTTAGTAGGTATACCAGTATGATAGTCTAGTATTTGAAGTGACAGRTAAAAAGGGTAATAATTTGATTTTCTATAATAAAGTTTGTTTTCTTGATATATTTTAAATATTTTTTGCAAATATAATTTATTGTTACTTGATTTAAGCTAAATCGAATTTATTTTATCGTGTTCAATATATATTATTTCATAATATGTATTTGAATTTTTGACTCATGATGTATTCAATGCATAGTTTCACGCTCTCGAGGGCACACACGTGCATCATATGGATATTTCGCCGTTTTTGAATTCATAGTTCCGCGTATGACCTTTATTTGATTTATTTGCAGAGCCGATAACGACAACRGCGCAACAGGTGCGATGGAGACGAGCCACGGCCGAACGATGCGCTCGTTGGCTGTACTGATGTTCGTGGTGGCATCGGCCACGTGTCAGCAGACCATGTCATTTCCAGACGGCGAAGGCAGTGGCGGCGTCGGCGTCGCGGACAACGCGACGACGTCGAGCGCCGGCCCCGGGAACAGAAGTGGCAAGAACCTGTTCAACTGGTTGGGCAGTTTCTCGGACGAGGGCGCTGACCCATACCTTTCGTCGGCCAACGGCGCGTGTCTGCAGGGTGACATGGCCGAGTGTTTTAAGGCCCGCGCCCTGTCTGGCCTGGGTGACTTTTTCGTCCGGGACTCGTACCGGCTCAACGAGAACGTGCGGGTGGTACGCCTGCGGGACGACGACGACGACGGCGGCCGCCACGCGTCTAGGGCGTTCGAGTTCTCGACGGAACAGCGGCCCGAGGACACGGAATGGGACAAGCTGGTGAAGTTCGCCACGCGCAAAGCCGAACGGTTCCTGCGATCGGCCGCAGTTGAGGTGCACGTTCCCGACGAGCTGACGGATGGTGGTCGGTACTCGCCCAGATTCATCGACGAGATATCCTCCGAACTRGACACGCTCGAAGACAAGAAGGCCAGCATCATAAGTGAGTACCTATTATTGAGTATAAATATGTTTTCTGCAGGTGACGTATGGAGTCGTCTAATCGTTAGAAAGAAATTGAAAACCGTTGTCGTTTTTGACGATTGGTACACATTGAAAGCGATTAATAATCCGTTTCGTATAAAGATTACGTGGCAAACATCTACCGATGAATCTAAGACGAAATTCGCTATAGTTCGCCAAACTGCAATTAGTGTCCTAGCTGTGCGGTTATCAAAAAGTCAAGAAGGCCTGGCGTCCCAAACCGGAAGTTAAACCTATAGTCGTGTCGGAACAAATTTAACATTAAGCCGAGCGGTGGCACGATTGRCGGTAATAACAGTATAAATATTTTAGCTGATTTTCTGGACCGGAACAAGCGCGCTTAAACGACGTTGTAAGCTCGGCATATAACATAATATAGGTAACAATAAAATAGTAGGCATAATGATACGAAACAGTTGAACGAGTGTTGCAATGTTCGGTCCGTGTGCTTCACTTGTGTGCGTGTACCACTTAAACAGTACTTGTGTATGATATATGACTTCAATGAATCATGACGTCCGGTGACGTATCTGTCGTAAAAGTGTTGTACCTCTGTAACTCGCGGTAATTCGGACGTCGTTTAATTATATTATAATATATTTAAGCCTTAAACTAGGGGGGAGGTGTTCATTTAAAAAAAAAAAATCAAGTACAACCATACCCTAGCTAGTGTGCGATACGTTCGGAACGAATGAGCGATACATTTATATGTATATATATGTAGGTATACTGTGATATTATACTTATACTTACCTAACCCGAACAGTATTAATTTTTTATACTTTTTACTAAATGTATTATTATACTGCATCACAAACAGTGCCACCGATTAACGTGACTTAAATACGATTTTAATAACCACAGTCGTTACGACGTTGTTATAATTATTTGCAAATTTTGTGATATTATGTGACTATATTTATTATATATTATAATACTTGTAATATATAATATAGTAATAATTTAATTATTATATAATTATAATTAATTTTAAATTTAATAATTTAATAACTAAATAGAGTTCATTGAGAAAAAATTGACTAACATAAAATCGGTTTTAGTGCACCTCAATTCAAATAGCATTGGCTTACTTAAATTTGTTCGAATAATTCGACTGTATGTGGTATATTTTTGAACATGTTTAGATGGCTCAACATAATGTATACGATTTACATATTATGCGAATATATTTTATATTNATTTATTTCCTTATAATCTCGTTTTGAACCTTTTCCAACCAATTTCGACTGTTTTGGGGGGATGAGAGAATAATATTACAGTAATTTTTTAATTAATTATTTCTTCGGTTTGGATTTTTTGCACTAGGAATACGTATATGTATTGCGTGATAAATATTTTGAAAAAAATGCTGTTACTTGTTAATCATTTGTTTACGCCTAACTTACTATGAATGCATTTCATCCACAATTCCAATAACAACTTTTATAATAATCTTGTATTTTGCACTACTAAATTTGTTGCAGTAATCTGAACTGATGTTAGCATAACATTACAATAATTTTGGTTTATATTGTACGGTATCGTTTTTGAAATACATTATTAAACAATTTCATTAGTATATTATATTACATGCGGAATGCATTGTTTACCCGATTTTTAAGTATAAAATATTGAGATAAATAAGATATAATGTTGTTATGTGCTCATAATTTTTTGAATTTATTAAAAATAGTCAAAATATCTACTATATCTGATAAGCTTCTCATAACTATATTAGCATTATAATTATCCTCGTTCGTCTATTATTTACGTAATATATATTTATTAAAATATTAGTGACATTGGTAAATACCCAATTACGGAATGAAATAGCAGTGAATACGCAAAATAAAACAAAATAAATATAATAAGCATATAGTGCTATAAATYAAAATAACAATAACAATAAATCCATCAAGAACAGAATATAATATAATATTATATTATAGGTACTTTTCAGCGGTGGCTTTGTACAGTAATTGTATAACAATTATAACAATAATAACGCAGTTGTGTTTTTGTTCGTATATGATTTTGAGATTTGAGTGCGATTACCTAATACGATTTTATATGACACACTCACATATTATTATTATACATAGTCGTGGTGGAGGAGGATCCGGTGTGGTGTTACGTGCGCGCTCTGTATATATATCACAGGCGGCGGACTACCGACCGGCAGACGGTTAGTGACATCCGAACGGTCAACGGACTAGGTTCAACTCTGACAAGCGTGTTCGATGTGTTTGCGTTCCTAAATAATAATAATAATTCGTCCACAGCGYGGAATAACAGTACCGCATATAGGTACCTACACACATCGCGACCGGCTGAGCATTCTGCGCAAACCTCAACAGACACGTCGTCACTAACAGGTATGCGAGTCTGAACTCGGTATAATACGATATTTGCATATTTACTACATATAGGTACCAGCCTAATAGTTTACCGTAACGTACACAGTCAGTTGACGAACCGATTTTCACACGTTTGTATTGTTTCACGTCGATACTYAATCGACAGATAATGACATTACACATTACAGACGAAAAACATGTATGAACCTACTGATCAAACAAACGAGATTCATGACCTGCAACGACCRCCGCAAGACAAATTTTAASGCTGGTTTAGTTTGATATTATATTTCTGTTAAACTGTATACTTGCATTGTTTTCGAAACTATAGAACACTGTTAAAGGTATGTCGAGCTTTTTTTATAAGCATAATACTATATTATCAGAGAGATTTTTTTTATCGTCGTAACTTCAATATTATTTCGGTTTTATTTGTAATACTTAACTTTACCTCAACATAACATGGCCTAACCTAACATAACATAACATAATCTTATAACGTCACAAGTGGGACAATCGTCGTTTATTAATTTATTACTCACAGCGCTGTACTTTATAATATGATTATGATTGAACTCTGCAGAATCTCATACCATRCTGAACACCGTGCGTTCAAATCTCCCGAAGATGAATTCGACAACTGCAATTTTGCAATATTCTTATTATAGCCCCCCATTGCACTGTAGACAAATGACAACAGCTTAAAAGATCGAATCTATACTATATCATAGTATAATAATATTTTTATGTCATACGAAAACACGATTTCGATCAACCATTAACCATTTTACTATTTATTAGATAAGTACCTAACATAATTTGTTGTAACAGAAGTTTATGACTAAGTATTAGGTATATAAAGAAAAGGCTATTGATTTATTGATTTCTATGACAATGAATGTCGTTTTGAATCTAAAATAAGTGAGATACAAATCTGATTCAATGCATTATAATTACAAACACTAAATTTTACTTTGAAAATAACGATTTTTTTTCTYGTATTTAGTAGGTATACCAGTATGATAGTCTAGTATTTGAAGTGACAGRTAAAAAGGGTAATAATTTGATTTTCTATAATAAAGTTTGTTTTCTTGATATATTTTAAATATTTTTTGCAAATATAATTTATTGTTACTTGATTTAAGCTAAATCGAATTTATTTTATCGTGTTCAATATATATTATTTCATAATATGTATTTGAATTTTTGACTCATGATGTATTCAATGCATAGTTTCACGCTCTCGAGGGCACACACGTGCATCATATGGATATTTCGCCGTTTTTGAATTCATAGTTCCGCGTATGACCTTTATTTGATTTATTTGCAGAGCCGATAACGACAACRGCGCAACAGGTGCGATGGAGACGAGCCACGGCCGAACGATGCGCTCGTTGGCTGTACTGATGTTCGTGGTGGCATCGGCCACGTGTCAGCAGACCATGTCATTTCCAGACGGCGAAGGCAGTGGCGGCGTCGGCGTCGCGGACAACGCGACGACGTCGAGCGCCGGCCCCGGGAACAGAAGTGGCAAGAACCTGTTCAACTGGTTGGGCAGTTTCTCGGACGAGGGCGCTGACCCATACCTTTCGTCGGCCAACGGCGCGTGTCTGCAGGGTGACATGGCCGAGTGTTTTAAGGCCCGCGCCCTGTCTGGCCTGGGTGACTTTTTCGTCCGGGACTCGTACCGGCTCAACGAGAACGTGCGGGTGGTACGCCTGCGGGACGACGACGACGACGGCGGCCGCCACGCGTCTAGGGCGTTCGAGTTCTCGACGGAACAGCGGCCCGAGGACACGGAATGGGACAAGCTGGTGAAGTTCGCCACGCGCAAAGCCGAACGGTTCCTGCGATCGGCCGCAGTTGAGGTGCACGTTCCCGACGAGCTGACGGATGGTGGTCGGTACTCGCCCAGATTCATCGACGAGATATCCTCCGAACTRGACACGCTCGAAGACAAGAAGGCCAGCATCATAAGTGAGTACCTATTATTGAGTATAAATATGTTTTCTGCAGGTGACGTATGGAGTCGTCTAATCGTTAGAAAGAAATTGAAAACCGTTGTCGTTTTTGACGATTGGTACACATTGAAAGCGATTAATAATCCGTTTCGTATAAAGATTACGTGGCAAACATCTACCGATGAATCTAAGACGAAATTCGCTATAGTTCGCCAAACTGCAATTAGTGTCCTAGCTGTGCGGTTATCAAAAAGTCAAGAAGGCCTGGCGTCCCAAACCGGAAGTTAAACCTATAGTCGTGTCGGAACAAATTTAACATTAAGCCGAGCGGTGGCACGATTGRCGGTAATAACAGTATAAATATTTTAGCTGATTTTCTGGACCGGAACAAGCGCGCTTAAACGACGTTGTAAGCTCGGCATATAACATAATATAGGTAACAATAAAATAGTAGGCATAATGATACGAAACAGTTGAACGAGTGTTGCAATGTTCGGTCCGTGTGCTTCACTTGTGTGCGTGTACCACTTAAACAGTACTTGTGTATGATATATGACTTCAATGAATCATGACGTCCGGTGACGTATCTGTCGTAAAAGTGTTGTACCTCTGTAACTCGCGGTAATTCGGACGTCGTTTAATTATATTATAATATATTTAAGCCTTAAACTAGGRGGGRRGKKKTYMWTTWAAAAAAAAAAATCAAGTACAACCATACCCTAGCTAGTGTGCGATACGTTCGGAACGAATGAGCGATACATTTATATGTATATATATGTAGGTATACTGTGATATTATACTTATACTTRCCTAACCCGAACAGTATTAATTTTTTATACTTTTTACTAAATGTATTATTATACTGCATCACAAACAGTGCCACCGATTAACGTGACTTAAATACGATTTTAATAACCACAGTCGTTACGACGTTGTTATAATTATTTGCAAWTTTTGTGATATTATGTGACTATATTTATTATATATTATAATACTTGTAGCTAGCTACATAAATAGAGTTCATTGAAAAAAAATTGACTAATATAAAATCGGTTTTAGTGCACATCAATTCAAATAGCATTGGCTTACTTAAATTTGTTCGAATAATTAGACTGTATGTGGTATATTTTTGAACATGTTTAGATGGCTCAACATAATGTATACGATTTACATATAATGCGAATATATTTTATATTTTTTAAAAATCACGAAATGGTGGGGGGGGGGTGAGCTTATGGAAAAATTTGAATTTCAAAACGAGTAGCGACATCGAGTGTTGAGATTCAATATTTAMAATAGTTAGGAATCCTTAAAGTTTAAATATATTTTCGGTCGTAATTTTTTTACGAACCGATGGATATTAGTAGTTTTCTATCGATTTCTAAAATTAGATTTGTTACTTTATTAACACTTATTATTATATTTTAGTATGTCACATTGTTAGACATTTTTATTCGATTTTTCACAGACATTCGGYTTGTCGTAAGTTACCGTTCGATCAATATAATCACCAACCATTAAGTGTCCWGCACATGTACACAATAATCAACACACAATCGCGCACGTATTATGTGTTCGGAAGCTATAATGCGTATACGATGTATGCACTTTCTCCCCGACCTGCATAATTGCCTATGAACAATATTTYGTCTTAATTTTTTCATCGCGTAGTTGTCCATCTATAGTACCTATATAATACATTAAATACCCAGAGCATATATGTATAGTGTGATTATATTATCGTTACCTAGGATTTTCTAGTTCATGGGAAGTACCAGAAATTTTTAAATTATTAATTTTTTTTTTTCGTGAAATGTTTAAGAACGTATTGTTGTTTTAAACTGTTCTTTCGTAATAATTATCAGCCTTTGATGGTTTTAATACAGGAACATTTTATTCCCGATACATACATTGAGATACCACCTCGTTATCGATAAAAAAAAATAAAAAATAAAAAAATCCTTCTGTACATTGTACAGCATCTTATCTATCTTCAGAGWGTATAACACCATTTTCGATTTCACATTATTGTTGATATTCGGTATCCGCATAACTGGTTATAATAATAAGGAAATGATAAAACAAACCGTTCATGTACGCTCGTGCAGTGCACAGCTGTTATCATGTGAGTATAAGAGGTCACTCTTCGCTTTCGAACGTACCGACAATTGGGCCACACTACGATAATAGTATATTAGTAGATAATAGTATAATACCTAGTGTTATTATTAACTAATTTATAGTTGACAATACATTTACAATTATTTGGGGGTTCATGTATTTGGGCGAGTTTCTTATAATGTATCTTAGTAACTAAATACGGTACAAAATATTAAAGATAAAACTGTAATCAATATAATATTATACCATGTAAGATTAAAGTTTAATATATAAATATCTAGATAAAAGACTTAATGATATTATAAAAAGGTCGCCCAAACACATTACACTTTTTAACAATTCACTCAATCGTAAACCGCTCATTTTTTTGAACTCGTTGAAAAATAATCGAACATCATATTATATCATTTTTATATTCCGTATTCCACGCGTACAACTAAAGACGTCTCTSGTATACAATTATTTAATATTATCATATTATCATAGCACTTATTGTAAATTTCAATGTTGTTCTATCGTATTATGTATATATTATACCTATTACTTTTGGACACTATACCGCCGATTATTATGCTGTCAGTGCGTCAGAAAATTAGCATCGCCGCCATCGCCAATATAGTTCGTCAATTAAGTTTATCGGCTGCGGTACACTTTCTAAATGTTTGCACTCTGCGAAATGTACTTACACTCGTTCATACAACAAGAGCGGACCCAGACAAATGGGTTATGCGAGAATATTTGTGGATCGTATTATATTATGTTATTATGCATACGACTGTGGGTCGCGACGGGTGACCTGTGTTGTATATATAATGTGCGCGGACTTCCGCCTCTCGCGGTAGTATAATACAACAATATTGTGTTGATTTTCGTTACGATTTCGAGTCGGCTTTCAACGCGTGTAAAATACATTTTATAGCTATAATATATAACGATGATACAGCGCACTTCCTAGTCGAGTTTTTTATGACACTAGCAGTGGCGTAACAAACCATATAATACATAAAGAACAGAACATGATGACGCCCACGATTATATATACTACATATATAGTGGATAGGAAGAAAACGAAAGCACTCACAAAAGGTTCGACTTTGCAGCGGTGAATGGATGCTAATTTCGACGAGAAACGCGTTCAGGCCGATTTGTTTATTTTTACCGCCGTCGTTTTCCCGAAACCGAAAGCGACATTACGTCGTTAGGCATGCTTATTATTAAGGTATATACTTATACAATATTATTATTATGCAGATATTTATTGTCTCGATTGTATGGTCGTACGGACTGGCTTGTCTACCACGATTATATTATTCGAATGTTAGCAGTTACGTCGTAACGGCACCACCAGTAATGTGTTTAAATCGCATGCATAGTATAATATTATTATTATTATTACCTATTGAGACGTATACAACGGATTWAGAGTAATTCTCGTTKACTTCCACGTATGTTATACATTAAATTATAATAGTGTGAAAGTACTATTTGATGTAAAAAGTGGTTTACTTTATAAATATAGTMGAAAACGATAAATTGAGGTTCCTATAGTAATAGTAGTAGTTTCCCTATATTATATTATTTTTAATTGCGAGGATTCAAAATTTTAATTTCATAAATATTCCTAAATAACATTCAATTATYATTGTTATTATTATTTATTGAGTCATTAAATTTCAACATTTTTTTATAAAGAKAACTAAATTAATTGTAAAAAGTTTCTTCGTTTTATTTTGAATCGATGTAGATTTTGTTTTTATGTTTTGATCTAGAACAATTTAATATACTGTATGATAACACGGCGTTTTGKGTAGGCTATTCATCTGCACCAATGCCATGGATTTAATTTTCCAATGTCTCTTCTCTGATTCGAAATTATCTTGGAATAATAATTAAGAAGTATTGAACGCGTCACCTGCTATAATAAAAAATATCCGATATAATGCATGTGAATGTATCGATATACATATTGTATATTTATATTATAAAAATTACGAAGTTCTAATTTTTTTTTTTAATTATGTTTTTAAGCTAAATATCTGATGAAATTATAAAATATCAAATAAACAAACAATTATGTCAATAAAATATAATTCGACATTTTTTGGATTATCGGATAATCATAATTTATAACCGTTACCGCCTCTGTGTTTCAGCCAAGAAGAAGGTGAAAAAGCTGTTGATTCCCCTGCTGATCGTGCTCAAGCTGTTCAAGTTGAAGCTTCTGCTTTTYCTCCCGCTCATCCTGGGTCTGGCATCGTTCAAAAAGGTACTCGGGTTCCTGGCACTGGTCGTTCCAGGTCTCATCGGGTTCTTCAAACTGTGCAAGCCTGACCTCCAGCACAACTACGGCACGTTCGGGCACAGCAGCTACTATCACAGGCCGTCCAATGGCGGTGGACCTCTGCCCCTGCAGTCCGGGCCCGTGTACTCGCCGTACCGCGAACACCAGGAACCGCAGTACCACCGCGAACACTTGGAACAACCGCAGTACCACCGCGAACATCCGGTAGACCCTCAACAATATCTGTACGAGTCAGCCGACGCGCAACCGTACAACAGCCGACCGGCCCGGAACCAGCAGGACGCCAAGGTACCGTCTTCCGGTTCGGTAGCGTTCAAGGATGAGGCCAACGACATGGCGTACAACGGTTACAACAGACAACAGCGGCGATAATTACTGTGATGTACATAGCTATACCACAGCGGAAACCGCCTCGATGATCGCAGGATATCCGCATGTACATAGATCACTTGATACCCAAAAATACCGTCACTGTCGCTCCCTCTATCCGTGCCTCGCGGCGACTCGTATGTCTGTGCTCATTTGTTTTGTACACGCAAGTCTACAATACTCTCCTCCGCCGCAGTGTACTAATATAATATTATACATTGCACAATGCTTCTAAATCGTGATTTTTACAATATTTCCCACTGGCCAATTCGATTTGTCGGGAAATTTCATATTCACAACTATATATTTTTTTATCCTGTACACCGGCACAGGCGAGTCTTGTCGATTTGCGTCGAGACGTGTCATAACAAGTCGTGCGCGATTTCAAAACGCCAATACTTAAACGCGTAGTTCCTCGTAATCGCTACGACACAAAGATATTTCACTGTTTGCTTTGACAGTCGTGGTATATGATATTCACAATTATTAAGACCTAATTATAATTATGATTATAAACCTTAATTTTATTATTWTTTTTTTTATATACACATTTTTGTGCAGTGTGACAAAAGCGGGTGATATTTTATATATAATTTAATTCAATTTTGTATTTTATTGTAAATATATATATTTCTTAGTTGTAATCGTATGTGAACATAATATATTTTTAACACCGCATAAAGTCCATCGATTTAAGTATAATAATAATGAATATTATAAACGATTTAAGTGATCGTACAATACACGTCATAATATAAACTATTATGATATTTTAAAAGTTAAAACGATGTAATATAAATGATTATGATATTTATGAATTATAGTCTTATTGATGCAATTATGTCTATAATGACATTACTGGCCAGTTAAAGGTTTACATATTAAATGTGATATAGGGATTGTTACCTATAGTAATTTGTTGCCTACAGTAAATCTATTGGTGGCTACCTGTAATTTATAAAATTGATGTTAACAACAATTGTTTTAAATTAATGTCTTTATTTGTTTTGGTTCAATTAAATATCGACTGAATTCTGATTAGGTATGTTTATATGTACCTCACCGAATATAAATATTAACATTGAAAATGAGTAAAAATGTACCAAAAAGTTGGAAAAAATAGAGAATTGGTTTTAAAACTGGTAAATTGCTTCAAAATATTATACATTTTATGAAAATCCATAGTCCAAGGTTGTAAACTTACGATTTTTTTTTTTGAATGTAGTTCAATCCGATTCGAATCTTTCTTAATACCGTCAAAAAACAGCGAATTGAAAATATAGATTTAAATTAATTCTACTGTTATTTATATTATTTAGTTTGTAAAATATCATTATACAGTTATTGAGTCCCAATAACTCGAAGAACTTGACAATTTGAATTTTTTTTTTATTCTCCTATTAATTAATTAGATATCTTGAATAAAACATATTATCTTGAAGCTAATTTTTATCCCCCTTCAACTTCCAGCTATCGAATGTATTTATAAATAAATTCTTAACGAATCTTTGACAAAATGCTTACAATTGTGCACGGCTGATGTATCTTATGAAATTAACTTTGAAAATTTGCTTTTTCTGCAAAATTCGGAAATCATAATAAAAATAATATCAGGTATACTATATTGTTCACGTAACTTTACATTCTATATCGTGTTGGTTGAATCTATTGATATAATGGTATATCACTTATCAACAGATGGAATTATTTTAGGTACTACCCAATATTATTATGCTCAAATAATATCTTTATTCTAACATCGTTTTTCAGAATTATCACGTTTTCTTTTTCATTGCTGTAATAATTATAACAATAGTAAATAAATATTAAATTTCCCATGTTTCTACTTTCTAAGGACTGTCATGTTTGATACAAACTTTTATTTTTACAAATAATAAGAACATCCAACATCGACACAATAAATTACGACCCTTTTCCCTACATTTATACTTACTTATATAATGTATAATATTTAACTAATTCAATTAGGTACCTACCTAATATTAGAATACCCGCTTAATGATATATTTTATATTTTAATACGAAAGATTATAATTTTTGTATATTTTAAAATATCATATTTTATTCATATTCAAGACTTAACTAACATTTCATTTCCAAAAGTATATCAACTGTATCCAATGTCAATGTGTTACAAAAGTCCACACCTAATGTTTTCGCTGGGGATCCTATAATCGCCATACATTATTATCGGGGAAGCCTCCGAGCGATACGCACACATCACATTTTCGTATTGCCTTTATTTTCGTATTACCTGCCTAATAATTGTGTTGTGCATTATCGGTCGCCGCCGGGCCGCGAATATTTATTATTTAGCACGGCCGCCGAATAAAAATAAAAGCCAGTTGGTAGTCGCGAAAATTCGTGCGCAYAGTTCAACCRCAAGTGGGTACACATTATGTCCCTTCGGACGTTTATTTACTCTAATTTGTTCTGAGGAGTCGCGGAATCGCGTAGGTATAGAATTATTATTAGGGCTCGGAAGTTGTAGAAATCGCATATTGTTCTGTATGATCTCAATTTATAGCAGACCTAGCTAGAAATTTRAAATATACAATTGCGAGTTAAAAAATTGAAAATTGAAAATGCATATTTTGTTAATTTTAGCTAAAAGCATATTTCATATTTTTCTAAAATAATTGATTTTTTCTTTCTTAACCTGTATATTTCAACTAATATTGAATATAAAACTCAAAATGACCAACGAAGGTATTTATTKTCATCGCCATAGTCAATTACGGAGTTAATAACAGTGATGTACTGATGTGATACGCATTTAGTCTATCACGCTAGTATGCCGAAATACTTATTTGTAGTACTATCACAGATTATTTAAAATATTATATTTTATATAATCTGTGGTACTATCTTATCGTCGATAAGTTACCGTAAAAAATATAATGATGGTTTCTTCGCGTTTATCGTTACTGTTGATTGTACACGATTGATGTTTGACAGTTTCGTTTTAGACGTCGTATTGTTAGTACCTAGGCGAAGTGCGTATATTTTTGGAATTCAGAATAATATTTTTGCATATTTAACATTTTTAATGCATATTTTGCAATTTTTTCGTGCATATTTCACCTTTTTTTTAGYTCCTATAACTTCCGAGCCCTAATTATTATTATTGCGTAAGTAAATCGCCGTTTATACAATATATCGCCGGAAATAATATTATTGTGAGCCTGAATCGCCTTTTATTACAATAGTTATAAACGTTGTCACTCTAATATTGTTACCGTCATTTTTGTTTTATGTAGGTATGCGAATCGGATTATATACAGKCATACAGCGGTATATGTATTATCCTACACGTGAATGATCATGGTTTGTTTCTTATGTCAKAAATAATGCGAGTGCGTTGATCGCATTTCGCAGTAATATTCGCAATCATAAATTGTTACATTGGCTCGAATAGCCAACGATAATATCAAACGTAAAATTACGCCCAACTTCGTGTAAATCAAAATAATGCGACATAAAATGTCGGGTAAAGGTTGGGGAAGAACACTGCAATATAAAAATATGTATGTACAAAAATACGCGATGGTGTTTATTCTTCAAAAAATCRCATGATCTCATAACAATAAAATAATATAATATTGTCACGCCGAAATCTTAAACGAAATATTATTTTAAATTAAAAAAAAATAATAATAACAATAAATGTTAATTACAATACTATTGTTTATGTTTGGTATTAAATAGCATCGACG